TGACCCAGCTCACATTAAAGAGCAGCAGGTGTAGGTTTCCAGGGAAACACGCATGCCACCTTCAAAGACTATCACCAGCACCTCAGTTAGACCAGTATCCATTGCTTAAGGCCAATTGAAAGGATAAACAGAAGTCCTAGCCAACTCTATACATATCAATATGAAGAAATAGGGTCAGGCTCAGTCAAAATGGAGACAGTTGCTTTTCTTTCAAGGAGAGCTGCTCAAGTGGTCCTCCACAATATCAGTAGTACCAGAAAAACTAACAAAATCCAGCATCTTATAAGAACTCTCAAGATAATAGAAATAGAAGACTTCCTTCACTTGATAATTCATGTTTGTGAAAAAGCATCCTTAAGGATGAGAATATTAAAATGGAATAAGATCATGAATATGTCAGTGGTCTTTATGTTCAACATTGTACTGGAAATCAGTGAAATAAAGAATATACATATAGGTGAGGAATAAAAAATTTACTTTTATTCCCAGATGATAACCTAATTGATATTCTAGTAAGTGAATCCTAGTACTATTAAGTAAATTTTGCAAAGTTCTAGGGTATAAGTTTAGTGTATAAAAATAAACTGTGTTTCTGTATACTAATAGACAAGATGAAATTTGTAAAAGAATTTTATTCATATGAGCATAAACAAATCAAACAGTAAATTTAATAAGAGTTGTACAAGAGTTAGTCATAGAAAACTGCTAAATGTTGCTGAAAATAAAGGAATACCTGGCTAAATGGAGAATTATACCTCAGCTTTGGAATTGAAAGTATATTATCAGAAGGCCATTCTTCCCAAAATTTTCTATAGACTTAATGCAACCCCAACCATATTCTCAGAGGACTTGATTTTTTCTTTTTATTCCCCACTACTAAAAATTGAACCTGGGGCTTCTGCACTGAGCTATATCAACAACACACACACACACACACACACACACACACACACACACACACTTTTTATTTTTTGAGACAGGATCTCATTAAGTCTGTACTGGGGTTGAACTTGTTTTTTCCTCCTACCTCATTCTGTATGAATAGTGAGATATAGGCAAGTGCCTCCATACCTGGTATCAGAGGGTTTAAAAAGGAAAAAAGACAAGACAGAAAGAAAGTTGAGATTATTTAGTATTTAAATTAAAATACAGAGAACCTAGAATTTTTAAAAAATGATTAAAAGAAGAACTAAGATGAGGATTTAACTCTGCTTAATTTCAGATTTTCCTATTGACCTATAGCAATCAGTACAGTGTGGGATGATAAGTAAAGGCAGTGAATATGGATGAAGCATGGAGAGTTAAAAAATGGACCTGAACCGTTTTGGTCAGCTGGTTTTCAACAATGTTTCCAATGTTACCTGAACTAGTAATAGTTTTTTGATGAATGGTGCTGAAATATTGGATTATTAGTCTACAATCATACAACCCTGAATGTGCTGATCTACTCTGAATTATTGGATAACCATTTCCTTATATCAGACACCCGAATTAATGAAATGGATCTTAGACCAAAATGTAAAAGGCAAGTCATGAGGTTCTAGAAAATTTTCTAGGAGAGAACTTTCAAAGCCTTGGATTAGCAAAGATTTCTTAGGGCATAAAACATTATGAGCTATGGAAGAAAACTGCTGAATTAGACTTTTATCAAAGTGTAAAACTTGGTAATGGAGAGGCACCTCTAGAAAATGAAAAGGCAAATAAAAATGAAAAATGAAAAGTCAAGCCATATATTAGGGGAAAATATTTGTCCTACTGACAAAGGGTTGGTTGCTATCTAGAATGTATAAAGAACTCACAACTTAGTAAGCTCTCCAATATAATTTTTAAAAAGGGAACAAAAAATTGAGTAGGTACTTTATAAAAGAATGTATACTGCTGCTGGTGAAACATATTACATTCTTCTAAACATCTTGGTGATTAGGGAAATGCAGATTAGGTAAAGACAAAAAAAAAAATGAAATCAGGCTGGGAAGATAGTGATCTAAGCACCTGCCTGGCAAGTGCAAGGACCCAAGTTCAATCCTGGGTTCCACATTCCATGCTGGCCACCGAAACTGAACATGGTGGCGCATGCCTGTAAACCCAGTGCTGGGGAGGCTGAAACAGGATCACTATGAATCTGAGCTGCATAGCAAGACCCTGTACTAAATAAAAAAATAAGTAAGAGCAAAGAAAAAGATTATTTACTTGTTTTAGGTTGGTACTGGCTTAAAAATTCAAGCCTGTACAGTCTTAACATCATTTATGGTTTTGTATTTGTAACTGTATAAATATATGTTCTGTATTTCATCAAATACCTTCACTTCTATATATTTTAATGAACTTTCCTCCTATTAAAAATTAACATGTAATAATTGTACATATTTATGGAGTACAGCATAATTCCATATGTGTGTATAATGTGTAATGATCAACTCAGGATAATTTACATCTCCTTAAACATTTATTTTGAAATATGGAATGCTTCAGAAATTGTCATCCTTAAAAAAAAAAAATGGGGCTGGGGAGATGGCTCAGTGGAATAAGCACTTCCCTGGCAAGCGGAAAGGCCTGAGTTCCATCCCCGGTTCCGCAAAAAAAAAAAAAAAAAGAAAGAAATTGTCATCCTTGAGGAAGGACCATTGATCTTTTCTGTATTGTTCCAATTGTAATGTATGTGCTGGGAAAGCAAATATTCTTTCCTTTTTAAGTCTCATTCTTTCCCACTTGTATTATTACAGGATATTAAACTCAAAATCATGAAGTCATTTATTTGTTTATTCTTCAAACAATAGTTTGTCACTTTTGCACCTTACTAATTACCTGCATATAGGTGGAGATACCAAGTGAGTGGTTGAAACCCATGAGAGCGGTTGTGGCTGGAGATACAAGTTTAGCAATTATGAGTGACTAAATGGTATTTAAAACTCTGTGTCTGGATGAGATCACTTGGGTGGGTGTGCAAGGATGCAAACAATAAAAGAAGTCATATGACTGAGCCCCAGGGTTGTAAAGCTAAGTCAAGTCAACAGATAAGAATGGAGTGGAACAGTCAGGGGGACTGTATTTCAGAGGACAAAGATATTGTGAGAAGAGGGGAGTTGTATGTGAACAGTTGTTGTGAGGTCAAGTCACATGATTTTAAGAAATGACTATTGAATTTGGCAATGTGAAGGTCATTGGAAAGGTCACTAACAAGATTATTTGCAGTAATGTAATGAGAATGCTAATCTGGTTGAAGTAGTTATGAGCAAATGAAAAGTATTGAGACAGAAAAGATATAAAGCCTTTTTCTTTTTGAGAACTTGTGTACTGATATGAAAGGCTATGTGAAGGCATAGGACACTTCTTGGATTTTAAAGATGGGAAGTTTTGTAGACTGTAAACTAATGGAAATTATTTAGGAGATTTTATAGCAAGTTTGTAAACTAGTAAGGATTATTTAGGAAGAGCAGGAAACAGCCATATGGAAAAGAAAAGGGAAGAGCAGTCTCCCTTTCTAAGTTAGTGAGAGTAGGATTCAGCGTACAGATGAAGTGAAGGGCATGTGGTAAAAGCAGTTTATTTGTAATGGCAGGAAGGAAGGTAGTGGTACATTCAGGTGTCACCAAATAATTTTTCAGCTCTAAGTACAAGCACTATTCTTTGAAAATAAAGAATGCATTAAAGAGGTTAAATAGAGTTATAAATAGTTTAGCCACTTGTCTCATTTTTATATTAACATCTTACTGTTGTATACTATGTCATACTGTATAGGACTCAATACATCAGAATGTGATACTGAAAAGTTAAGTCATCAAGTACTGGATTACTAAAATTAGATCTTTTGTGAGTTATATTTAGTTGAGCTATTAGATTTGAGTTAAAAAGTAATGACCAAATCATGGGACCATATAATTTACTTTTGGAGTTCTTTATGATTCCTTGGAAATTCTTATTTTCTCCCAGACTCTCTTTTTCTCTTTGGCATAGTTAAGCTCCTTTTATACCTTAATAGAGATCAAAGTGATGTTATAATTTAACAAATTAAGTTACAGTTTTCCTTAGGTGTTTTGTTTTGTTTTGTTTTATTTTTGTCTTTTTGCGATGGTCTCACTATGTAGTTTAGGCAGGCCTTGACCTCCCTTCGTAGCCCAGGCTGCCTCACACACCAGCATACCTAAGCTGCAGTACTTACCTCTTGTCTCTGGCCAGTTCCTGTGGCCATTTGCACGGGAACAAATGCCTCCAGACTTTATTATTCATTGTGGTATTGTTTCCACTGCTAAATTGTGCTATATTTTAGTGCTTCATTTCTTTATGATAGGGCAGATCACAGAATTCAGTACAGAGGTAGATAAAATGTCCTGAAAACATTTCAAAGCTGCACTTTTAGCTTTAAACACAGATTATTTTATAAATATTAATTGTTAACCTATGTTATAAAGCAGAGTAGACATTATTGCATCTATTGTCTATAGTGGTATAAGAATATTACCACAAATTTAGTGGCCTAAGAACAATAGTTACTTCCTCACTATTTCTGTGTGTCCAGAACAGATGTAAGCTGAGCAGACTTCTGCTTGAGGGTTCTCACATAGCTGGTGTCCCCTCAGCCTTGACTGAACTCTCAGACTCTGGCTTGTTGGCAGAACTCAGTTCTCAGGGGCTGCTAGAATGGAGGGTTTTAAGTTTGTTGCTGGCTGTCATCCCAGCTCCTTGCCCTGAGGTGAGTCCATGTGACAGCTCAAAAATTTGCTGCTTGCCTCTTTATAGCTAGTAAGAGCCTCCTCCAAGGTAGGTCCTAGTAGTGTAGTCACATGCATATAATCACTATCTTGTGGTTAGAGGCCAGTAGTGGGCCTCATCTACCTATACCCAGTGGGAGGTGATCACACAAGAGATGAACCAGGAAATGGGAACCCTAGTTGCCACCCACAAGGCTGCCACAGCTTGTAATGTGTATATGTGTTAATCAGCAATTTTTGTTACTTGTTTAGTTGTAGTAATAATTTTGGATTTTTTATTTTTCTATCCAGATTCCATTGGCCGTGACATTCCCAAAATGCTTGCATTATTTAAAAATGGACATGAAATTAAGGTAGATGAAGAAAAGGAGAACTTTCTTACAACCAAAATAGCAACGGTAAGTTACAAGGAAATGATTAAATAATCTTTTCTTTTTTGTTTAGTTTATTACTGAATACTTTATAAAATACATTGAACTTGCCTTTGCATCTAGCATTAGAAGTGGTACTAAAAACATAGAGTCCACCAAAAAAAAAAAAAAAGTATGCACACTTCAGAAAAAGGAAAATAATAGGTTGTATTTTCAACAGATGGTGTTGCCATAAAATGAGGAGACCACAGAGGATGTTACATATCAGAGTAAACCCACTATATTGTCTACCCTTAGAAAAGCAATTTAAAATACATGTGCGGCAATCTCAATGACCAAGGTTACCCAAACCACCATTTGCCATATTAATAAATGGTTGGAAGTTAATGGCCACTGCTTTGACCATCTGTGGTAATTATAGAGGCCAGAGGTAACTTGTATTAATTTCATGATGTTTCAATAAATTTAATATTAAAATATTTATGCAAGTTTTTCTTTTCCTTCGGTATGTATACATTTTTTGGCAGAGTGTGTGTGTGTGTGTGTGTGTGTGTGTGTGTGTGTAATTTTTTCTTATTCTATATATTGAGTGCATAGATTTTAATGGTACCTGATAATTTTCTTCTATAATTATGTGCTACTTATTGACATTTATTTGTATTTTACCTTACCTATTTATGCTAAGTATGTATTTTTTGTTATCTAATGTTATTGAGAGTAGGTTGTAAATCTTGTATATCCTATAAAGCATACAATGCTGAGCATATAGTAGGTATTTAGAAATAATTAATGGAATCAAGTAATTTATTTTCATGAATTATGTCTGATTTAAAAATTGCCTATTTATAAAATCAGTTTTCAATTCCATTTTTAGGACACTACCATAGATATATTAGGGGTATAGAACTGTTGATTTACTGTTTTCACTACCTGTATATTTAAAGTTATTTGCAAATATATATTTTTATAGTGCAAAATCTTGGAAGTGTCTAATATATAATTTTTTCTCTGTTCATAACTATCAGAATAATAATAATATTGAGAGCAAAATTTAAGCGGTGCCTACCAAATGTCAGGTGATATTGTAAATACATCTTGTATATTTTCTTTTAATTCTCAAGCATATGAAAAATAAAATTATCATCCGCATTCTATAGATGAAAGCATGGAATCCCAGAGAGGTTAAGATTTGTTTCCATGGTGTAGGGCTGGCAGGATAGCTCAGCAGACCTAGTGCCTGCTTAGGAAAGCACAGGGACCAGGGTTCGATCCTCAGCACCACATGCCTTGCTGGCCCTACCCCTGGGCACACTGAGCCAAGACCTGGTATGGTGGTGCATGCCTGTAATCCCAGCACTGGGGAGGCTGAAAATAGGAGGATCACTAGAAGTCCAGTCTATGTAGTGAGACCCTGTACCAAATACATTAAAAAACAAACAAAAATAAAAATTTTTCCATGGTCTTACAGTAAAAGTGAGGCAGAATAGGTAAGTATTTGAGTTGTGTCTGTATCCTCAAATAGCCAGGCTTTTATCCCATGCCATCTTGCTTTATGTCTGGAATTATTTTTGTTATTGTCGCTTTCTCCTCCTGTTCTGTTCTGTTATTTTTTTTTCTTTAAGATTGATTGATTGATTGATGTCGTACAGGGTCTTGCTATGCAACTTGAACTCGTAGTGATCCTCCTGTTTCAGCCTCTCCAGTGCTGGGATTACAGGTGTGCACCACCATGCCTGGTTTCAGTAGCCAGTACAGAACGGTGCGGGACGGCACAGCATGCAATACTGGAAAGTGAACCTGGGTCCTTGCACTTGCCAGGCAGACACCTAGACTACCACGTTATCTCGCTGGCACCTCCTGTTCTATTCTTAAGAAAAATTCTACATTGTATCTAGTAGCTAGTATTCCAAGCTAGTTGAGCTGTGTTCACTGTAGATCATGGGAATTATAGAAAAGCATTCATCTAGCTTTAAGGTGGGAAAACTTGCCTTAGAAAGGGAGTGCAGGGGGCTGGTGAGATAGCTCAGTGGTCTAAAGAACCTGCTTAGGCAAGCTTAGGCAAGTGTAAGGACCGTGGTTCAATGCCCAGCACCACATGCCAAAGCCCTGCCCTTAGGACGGCCTGAGCTGGCCACAGTCTGGTTGTGGTGGCATACACCTGTAATCCCAGCATTGGGGAGGCTGAAAAAGCAAGTGGATCACCATGAATCCGAGCAGTGTGGTGAGACCCTGCAACAACCAAATACATATTTTAAAAAAAGAAGAGAGGAAAGGGAGGCAGCAGATGTCTGTGACCAGGGATTGTGGACCTCCTACTTGCAGCATTATCATCCAAGCTCAGCTTCGATTTACTTGGCCTAAGCACTATAGAATCTAGTGTTGAAATTTCCTTGTTCCCCAAAGTCATTGGCAGTGCTTTTTATTTGTTAGAGTTGACAACACTGTCATAGAAGAAGCAAACAAAATATCCAGATACAGACTCTAAGGGTTATTCTAGAGCTATAGAGACTTGAATTTGAATGCCTGTTCTATGTAAGAGACGATAGACTTCCAACTGTGCTTCAAATTTCCTCATCTATAGAATGTGTATAGTAATACCTATTTTATAATGTGGCCTTGAAGATTAGATAAAATTTTTAAATGGTAGTACTTATTGGTGCCATTTTTGTGGTTGGCTTTTGGGGACTATAGAATATTCTTATACTATTCTTTATTAAAGATATACTTTCAGTATATTCAGTAGTTAATAATTTATATTTTCCCTGAAAAGTATAAGAAACCATGACATGTCATTTAGTGTTTTAACAAATACTATAATGTTTAAGACATAAGTTCCTGGGCTGGGATGTAGCTCAGTAGCACAGTGCCTGGCTGGCAAGCACAAGGTCATGAGTTCAATTACTTGTACCAAAACGCAAAAAACAAACAGACACAAAAAGACATGAGCTTCAGATCTTACTGCTTGGATTCTTTGGAGACAGATTTTTCTTTTTTTAATTCAATGAAAAAGCAGTTAATGTATATGTTTAAAGAGAATCTTCTGTAATACTGAACCTCTTATGATATAGTAGGAGATTAAGTGTAGATTTTTAGATTCATTCTGTTGTGTTTCTTTCTAATCATAGTGCTGTGTTTAGAAAGAAATGTATCATGTTGCTTTCTGAGTCTGTTTTTCCCTGTTTATAATGTCCCTGTATGTAAAATGGTGGTAAGATATGTGCTGCTAGAGTAGGAAGGAGTAGATGAGATAATAACATAACAACTATGTAGCACACTGCATGTGGTTTAGATGGAGAAACAGAGACCTAATTTTCTTTCCCACCTAAAACTGAGCATTACCTTAATACCAAAACCAAAGAAAACTACCATACAACATCATTCATGAACATAGAAGTAAACATTTTAAATTAAGTTTTAACAAATTAAATCCTGGAGAATATGAACAAGACAATGTATATCTTGACTGCCTTAGCCTACTTTATCATGCTGTAGCAGAAGACCTGAGATTGTATGATTTATAAAGAATAGAGGTTTAAGACTGAACATGGTGGCATGCACCTGTAATCCCAGCACTTGGGAGGCTGAAAGCAGGATTACTATGAGTCTGATCTATGTAATGAGACCCTGTAGATCCTATACTAAATACATTTTTAAAAAAAGAAAAAAAGAATAGAGGTTTATTTTGTCACATGATCTAGAAGGAGGGAAGTTTCAGAGCATGGTGCCAACACTGGCAGGGGCCTTGGCCTGCCTCATAATGTGGCAGAAACGTGTCAGGATAGTCAGGCATGTTGAAGAGGAAAAATAGAGGCTGCCTTGCCTGATAAGAACTTGCTCCCTAGAGAACAAATCCATTTTTGTGGAAAAGGCTTGAATCACTGTTAACCTCCTAACCATTTCTTAGGTCCCATTTCCCAACATTGCCATAATAACAGTCAAATTTCAGCTTGGTTTTTGGATAGGACAAATTACTTTCAAATTTTAACAGTGACCAAGAGAATTTATCCTAGAAATGCCAAGTTTAGTGTAACATTCAACAATCAATCATTGTAGTTCTCAAATTGAAAGACAAAGTCAATAAACTTAATAGGTACAGAAAAAGTATTTAACAGGATCCAAATACTGATTTAAAAGTTTCAACAAACTTGGAATAGATGTCTGTGTCCTCGGGCTTGGGCTGGGATGCTGCACAGTGATAGTATGTGTGCTCAGTAGGTGTGACACCTGGGCTGCTGTCGCCAGCATTGCCTCCCCAAAAGCCAAGATCCTTAATCTGATAAAGGATATTTAAGAAAAGGCAAGTGTTGATGTCATACTTAGTGACAGAAGACTAACATTACTTCACTCCTAAGATGAGGAACAAGACTAGAATATTGATTCTTATTGCTTCTGTTCCCTGGTGATCTGGGGTTTTTAGGCAGGGTGGTCAGGCAAGATTCAAGGTAAAAAGACATGTAAAATGGAAAGAAAGAAGCAAAATTGTCATTATTTAAACAAAGAAATGAGTTAAGTATGGTTGAAAATACAAACTCCTATATAAAAGTCATTTTTTTATACAACAGCAGCAAACAGAAATTAAAATTTTAAAACAATGAATGCCATTTCCAGTCATATCAAAACTATGAAATAGGATAAATCTGACAAAAGATATGAAAGACCTGTATACTGAAAACTTCAATATAGTTGAAAGGAATTAAGGATCTAAATAAATAGTCAGATGTACTTTGTTCGTGCATCAGTAGACTGAATTTTTTTTTTTTTAAACCAAGGATTGTACTCAGGCCCTTGCGCTTGCCAGGGAAGCGCTTATTCCACTAAGCCATCTCCCCAGCCCCTAAACTGAATATTGTTAAGTGTCAGTTATCCCCCAAGTGAGCTATTGATGTTTTCAAAGTTGCGGTCAGATTTTTCTTCTAGAAACTGACTATCTGGTTCTAAAAGTCATACGGGATGTAAAGGATCTCAAATAACCTAAGTAGCCTTGAAAAATAACAAATTTGGAAAACTACCTGATTTCAAGATTTGTA